TTAATCTTTTCACAATGCTTTTTGAGTTTTCAAGTTCTTCCGAATTTTTTCTCATTTTAATATTTTCGAAATTCTAGTTTTTTTTGAGAGTTTTTTTTCATAATTTTTACTAAAAATACTGCCAGTCACTACCACGTCATTTTTGTTCTCCTTGAATTCTTAGTTTATTTAACATTTTGAGAATGATACCAGTGTAAAAAAAGACGCTAGATTCAATCTAAAAGTGTTTCTAAATTAGATTGAATGGCTCATATTCATCTAAAACTAATTTGAGTAAACAATATTCACAAATGAGGATGGGTAGGTATGCCTCTGGATAGGTGACGGCCACAACACCTACACCCTCAAGCTACTTTTTTTTGCTTTGATTATTTTGTTTTCTACGGTTAATAGTATTTCTTCTTGCATACAATTGTCTTTTAAAACAAAGTGACTGTTATGCTTTTCTCTATTGTAGATGCACACTTATATAAATAAATCAAAAATAATCAAGAGGATGGGTATGGGTGGATGTGAGTGTCAGTCTTATTTCTACCCACACCCACACCCTCTTTTCTGAGCAATTCGAAAGTTGAAAAAAGTGACAAATTACATGAATACAATCACATTTTCATTTTGACATAATGAAAGTCACAACAATAAAATTTCTTGATTGCTGTTTGTATTCTTTTCATTCATCCGTTATCATTTTCAGATAGCGTATTAATGCGAATCTATCTGTCTAAGAATTTTTCATTATGTACTAATAGATCGATGGTTACACACTTGCCTTCACTTACAATCGTACAATTGGCAAAAATAACTCTCATGAGATTTTTTTTTACTCATTCGACTGAGTCATAATGATAACTTATTTTTCGATGGGAACGATTGTACACGACTCTGTATCTTTCAACACAAATCAAGGATGATGAAATCCATTGGAACACCGACTTTGACACGATCTTCACGTCCACAGTCCCTTTGATTTCCTAGCCAGTTTTTGTGTTTTTGTATTACATTTTTTCGATTATAACTAACGGAATAATTCTTTAACTATAATCATGTTCAGAAAATAATCATTGAATAATTTAAACTTGGAGAGTGGTATTTTACATATTACACTTTTCATGAAAATACATACATAGGACATCATCTCTCGGAACACTGGAATAGTTGAACAATAGTTTAATAACTGAACTCAAATTTCAAGTTCTACACTACTACCAAATAAAAGGTGAGAATAACTACCACAGTACAGGTATTTAGATATGGCTTGAATCTCCTATTGAATGTTATCAGTATCGATATACAGGATTGATTAAGTATATATTGAATCAATATTTGATACTATACTTATTATCTACTGGCCTCATCAGTTCGATTGTACGTGTTCTTAATGATTGACGAACTGTGTAAACTGTTTTAATGATTTATGAATGACTTTCCAACAGTCACATAAGCTATTTTGTTCGTCTCTTAAGCCCCTCCTCAGAATTGATTTCCCACTTGGAACCCACCGTTTGGGCTGAAATTTTCAGGGATGATTGATCTTGGTGAAAAACGCTTGTGGTAAAAATTTCAGCCTGATATGCCTGACTAGATCGAACTTTCAGCTTGTTTTCCTACCTCTCAGGAGAATCGAAATAACTCCGTCGTTAGAAGGGATACAGAGCTCGGGCTAGTTTCAAATTGGAGCTAGCCTCTGTACGCAACTTTTTATTGGACGGAATTTTGAAACTCCCTTCCATTCATTTTTTACGAGCAATTTTGTGGACATGTTTGCAAAATAAGTATAAAAAAATGTGAATCCACGACAGTAAATCCCACTTTTCTCAGCCCTGGGATCGAACATCAAAAATCAGTTCAATGGAAAGTTAGCTCTGATTAAGACCTTTAAAACAAAAAAAGAAATATCGGTTATATGCCGAGTTGAGTGAGCGTTATTTCAATTTTCCTGTCTAGAAATCGTGTGTTGAGAAAACGGCTGAAGAAATTTTAGAAATGGATTTTTTCATTCAAATCCAGAATAAATCATATTACAATGGTATATTCCACTGAACCGTTTTAAAGGACGTAATAGATGAAGGTAGCAAATGACATCTGACATGCCGATTAATATAAAAATATTGTATTTAATGATAATGCCAGTGGGAACGCAATTTTTCTAAAACTGAAAACCTTTAAAAAATCACGAAGATTTCTCCAAAAACATGGTAGTAGATTTAAAGTTTCATTTGATAAGTCTTTGAAAATCTGATCATTTTCCAAAAAACCATACATATTCTGACAGAGGAAGCTTCGCTGCATCTCTCTGTAATAAAAACTCAACTTCGATATGTCCCTGAAAAACTCAATCTTCTGAGGGGAGCCTTAAATTCTGTTTTGTGTGTCTGTTATGAAACTTTGTTTTTTTTTTTGTTGTTTCCTTTTGCAAACCAACTATAATTCAGTATTACGATAATCTTGATGTGTAAATAAAGAAGGTTTTGTTTTCTCGGTGAAATTCTGGAAGTTTATCTTTAATTTATAGATGGCATAGTATCAAAAGGTTCTAACATTATCGCCAAAAAAAATATGTGGTTTTCATTTAGTACTAAATGAAATTTTACAACGCATATTTGATATAAAACAAATTGAAGGTGGTTTAATAAATTTATTTATTCAACATACGAAAGGCCATCAATATTCTGATGAACATTTAGATAAATGTAAAGATGATATGCCAGTACAGAAAAAATGTTCATTACTTGCTTCATCAATTAATATTTCTACTACATCACGACGTTTAGCTTTTGATACTAGAGAAGGAATTTGTTTATTTTGTGATGAATTGTTTTTTAGATGGTTAAAGTAGACAATAATATTTATTCTTTAACAGAAAAGAATGGTACGAATGAATAAATAGGGTGTAGATGTGGGTGGGTGTGGGGTGTGAGTGTGCGGGTGTGGGTGTGAGTGTGGGTGTGGGTGGGTGTGAGTGTGGGTGTACGGGTGTGGGTGTGAGTGTGGGTGAATGTGGGTGTGGGTTACTTTTGATTGAGAGAAGAGCAACCACACCCACAACCCTGCACCCACCACTACCCTACATCCACACCAACAACCACACACACCCACACCCACACACACCCACACTCACACCCCCATCCCACTCACACCCACACCCACACACCCACCCGCACCCACACACCCACACCCACACATCTACACACCCACATACCCACACCCACACATCTACACACCCACATACCCACACCCACACACTCACACTCCACACCCACACCAACACCCACCCTCTACATCCACATCCCACCCCACACTCACCCCACACCCACACCCACGCCCACACCACACACCCACACCCCTCGTTCTCAAGTTCTATTTTGTAAAACGTAAGAGGCTTGATTATCCAATTCTTTTCTTATTAATAAAATTTTCTTTAAATAAGAGTTCCGAAAAAGAACTATTTAATAAAAAAACAGAACAAATTTAAGTGACGTCAAACTTTGAATCGATGAATTGACTTTATCGAAATATGACAAAAAAACCATTATTTTTCCATCAAAAATCATAAAAACATCAAGCTAATCTTTTAACACTCCTGAACTTGAACCAATATTGAAAGTTTGTATTCATTGACCACCAAAGCCGATAGCATGAAGTTTATCTTGTCGATTCAATAATATTATATGAAGAAAATAGAGCTAGCTTAGTTATGAGTTTTGGTTTAAGTCTGAGTTGAGTTGTCTCTTCATTTGCATCGACATTCACACTTACATCCAAAATGCACGTAATCCTACAGCAGCCACTGAGTTTTTTAAAACGGTACAATAAATACGAAGAACAGTTGAAATTAACTAACCATTGTGCCGAACAACTAAAAGAAGAACAGATAGATAATAATGATAATGATGATATATACGATGAAGATTAGATTTCAAAAGAAAGTCATAGAAAAAGTTCTTCTTTTATTTTAATGTTGTTATTTTATATTTTTTATAATATCAAAATAATTAAGAACCAATAAAAAAAGATAGAAAAATAATGGTATCACGATGTAATACAGTGTCTCTATCTGCACGAAAAAAAAACTCATGAAGAAACAAAGAATGGTATGAGATTCAAGGAGCTATCTATGAAATATATATGTCTAAGGTTCCTAATCATATTCTAGATCGAAATAGACATGTCTTTGGATAAAACAAATCCTGTTCGAAGAACACTAGATGGAGATCAGTAACTTGTATAGATCTATTTAGCAGCAACGATACTATCTACCTATGAGAAAAATCGATTGTTCTCTGCGTTAGTTCCCAAAAATAGAGAATGAATTTTAAAAGATTTTCTGAAACATCGATCTTCCGATATCTTTGAAACAGGCTTTTACTTGTAAAGCGATGTGTTTAAATCATGGTTGCACTTTAGCAAAATTTATAGGACTATCTATCTCTTGTCAAATTTTATTCAAAAAATAACTATCAACATTGTAATTTGAAACGGGTAGTATTAGTTAATAATATACTAAAGAACCTAAATATTAATCTATACTATCTGAAAAGAAGAAAAAACAATGACTACACCTGGTTAGTCTGTAAACTGATCAATATTTGTTTATATGAATGTCTTCGAACATCAGAGTGAAAGTATATTTATTAATATCTATAATTAAAACAATTTTTTCATATGCATCTATATTATTTTATTCTTTCTGATTAAATAGTACATATAACAAATTCGTTTTTAATCCAGAAAAAACACAAGTAAATCAATTCTTGTTGATGAAGATCACCAACGTACTTACGATTGGTATACTTATGCGTTTCTTGTTTGGTAAAATGATATCGACACTTACTATGTTATGTCAAGATCGTCATAAGTATATATATTTATTTATTCAATAATTAGTTTCATCTAAATAAAAAAAAGCAAGAACAACATCTCATTGCAATTAAAAAGAAAAGCTTGGTTAGTTAATAGAAATATAAAGAGAAAACGAAAAATTATATGAAATGTCAGTGACATTAACACATTTTGATTAGAGTTTCTACATGATCTGTTCCATAACATGCAATAACAATATCCATCCGATTGTCTTGATTTAAATCTTTAATTGCAATCGAATAGGGACGATATCCATAGCCTAGATCATATGAAGTTTTATTTCCGAAAAGTCCATTTCCATATCCATAAAGTAGAAATATATTATTAGTACCATAATTCGCAATAGCAATATCTGTTATATTATTATTATCAAAATCACCTACAGCTACTGTACATGGTCGAGAACGAGCACCAGTTGAATATATTGCTCCAATTACAAACGTTCCATTACCAGCACCAATCAAAATAGCAATATTATCAGTTTCAGAATTACTAACAACAATATCCAATTGATTGTCATTATTAAAATCAGCTATAGAAACAGAATATGGAGAAGAACCAACTCCGGTTGAATATGTTGTTATACTATTAAAACCTCCATAACTATGTCCAAGTAAAATACCTACATTGTCAGTACCATAATTAGCTACGACAATATCTGACAGACCATCGTTATTCAGATCCTCAATAGCAACTGAATGTGGCTGTGATTCCAAACCCATACTATATGATGTTATGCCAGCATAAAGTTCTGTGCCATATGCGAGAAAGATGCCTATATCATTTGACTGTGCATTTGCGACGGCGATATCTAACTGAGAGTCATTGTCAAAATCGCCAATAGCTAATGCATATGGTCCAGATCCTACACCAGTTCGATATGCAGTTCCTAGTAAGAAACTTCCATCTCCAAATCCAAAAAGTACAACAATATTGTTAGTTCCAGAATTAGCGACACCGATATCTAATATGCCATCATTATTAAAATCATGAGCTTCAACAAATTCTGGAGCAGAACCATCTCCAGTGGAGAATGTCATGACAGAAGCAAAAGTACCATTTGTATGTCCAAGAAAAATACTGACATCATTCATATTAAAATTACCAGTAGCAATATCAAGTTGATTGTCTCTATTGAAATCTCCAACAGTTATTGAATATGGCCAAGATTGATAACCCGTTGAATAGCTTACTTGAGTTGTAAAATTTCCATTTTGATAACCTAAAAAAATACTGATACTGCTAGTACGATAATTAGCTACGGCGATATCTATTTGACCGTCATTATCAAAATCACCTATAGCAAGCGACTGTGGCTTGGAATTAATTCCAGTCGAATAAGTAATTATGGTATCGAAAGTCAAATTGTCATGTCCAAGTAGAATACCTATATTATTAGCCACATAGTTGGCCACGACAATATCTATTTGACCATCATTGTTTATATCGGTTAAGACGATCATAACCGGATTAGAATTATATCCAGTTGAATATCTTCTGCTGGTAGTGAAACTTCCATTACCATATCCAACAAGTATACCTATGTCATTAGTGCCTGAATTAACGACAACAATGTCCAATAGTCCATCATTGTTAAAATCATGAATAGCCAAGGAAACAGGTCGTGAACCATTTCCAGTCGAATAAGTCATCATAACATCAAAATTTCCGTTACCATGTCCAAGAAGAATACCAATGTTATCACTCGAAGAAAAAGTAACTGCAATATCTAGATATTTATCATTATTGAAGTCACTAGTAATGATACCCTGTGGTGTTCGAGTATTATCACTGGAATAAGTCTTATGACTTTGAAATGTTGTATAATCAAATCCAATAAGTATACCTATACTATCTGTACCTGCATTAGCAATGATTAAATCCGCTCGATTGTCATTATTGAGATCACCAATAGCTACTGCCAACGGATATGAATCTTCTCCAGTTGAATATACCTTTGGAATGTCAAAAGTTCCATTACCATAACCCATAATTAAACTAATACTATTACTCTTTGAATTAACAGTAACTATATCTAAATGATTATCTTTATTGATATCATCAGCAATAACATATTGTGGATATGAATCAGCACCAATAGGATATGTTATTTGTCTTTCGAATGTACCATTACCCGTATTGAAAAGTATATCTAAATTATCACTTCCTGAATTGACGATGGCTATGTCTATATAATTATCATCATTGAAATTACCAACAGTGACAGAATAAGGTTGTGGAGCTAAACCAGTTGAATATCTTTTTTCATTTGCAAATTCTGCAGCAGCATATTCAGTTAAAATACCAACATTCCCAATACCCCATAAAGTAACAATGATATTTATTTGATTGCTGTTCTTCAGCTTGGCAGTGGCGATGTCATACGGCTTCGAACCAAAACCAGTAGAATATGTCCTTGCGAGTTGGAAACTGCCATTCCCATATCCATAAAAGATAATTATTTCGTTATTTGCGATATCGGTCACAGCGAAATCATATCGATAATCATTGTTGAAATCAGCAATAGCGATGCGAAAAGTGGACGAAGTAGAACCAGTTGAATATTTTGTGATTTCTTGAAAAGATCCATTTCCATATCCGAGAAAAATACCTACTAAACCTCCATTGAAAGTAGTAACAATAAGATCCAGATGATTATCATTATTCAAATCAAAGAGACTGAGGCCATTTGGAGCAGAAGAACTACCAACAGAGTACGTCGTTGCATTCGAAAAAGTTCCATCACCAAGTCCCAGAAGGATACCCACATTGCCAGACTTGTAATCAGTAGTGGCAATATCCAATTGTTTATCATTATTGACATCGCCAACACCAATTAATACCGGCCGAATAATAATATTAGCAGAGTATGTCGTCGCCTTACCAAAAGTTCCATTAGCATGTCCAAGAAGAACACCTAAGCCACCAGATCCATAATTTGCAGTGACAATATCTAATCGATTATCATTATTGAAATCTCCAACATTGACTGACCACGGTGTAGAACCATCGCTCACAAAGTAAGTTGTCACATTAGAAAAAGTTCCATTGCCTTGTGCAAGAAGAATACCTACACTATCAGAACCATAATTAGCTGTGACAATATCCATTCGATTGTCATTGTTAAAATCACCAATACAAATATGTTTTGGAGCTGATTTATTTCCAGTCGAATATGTTGTTGTTCGCTTAAAAGTTCCATCATCATTACCAGTTAGTAAAAGTAAACTATTATTATTAAAATCATTAACTAATAAATCAAATCGATCATCATTATTAAAATCATAAATAACAATCGAAGATGAACGGGAATTTTTTTCAATAAGATAATTCATTTGTCTTACTGATGGTTTTATAAAATATTGACTAAGTATAAGTACATTATTAGTACCATAGTTGGCTATAGCAATATCTGATTGATTGTCTTTATTAAAATCTGCTACAGCAACAAAGACTGGACGAGATTCATTTATTCCATCATATGTTGTTGTAACAAATGTTCTATTATCGTATTGCAGAAGAATATGTACTTGATCGTTTTCTGAATCAACAACAACAATATCTAGTTGATTGTCCTTATCAAAATAACCAAGAGTAATATAATATGGATGAGACTTGGAACTTATTAAGAACGTAGTTTGTTTTGCAAATGTACCATCATCATAACCAAAAAATATACCAATCTTGCCAGTACCATAATGTGTGACTATAATATCGAGATAATTATCATTATTTAAATCTCCAACAGTGATTGAAGATGGTTTCGAATTAAGAGTAGTTGTATAAGTTCTTTGACTTGCAAATGCCCCATTACCATATCCAAGAAAAATACCGATATTGTCAGTACCATAATTAGCCACAGCAATATCTAATTGATTATCTTTGTTAAAATCACCAATTGCTAAGGCACATGGAAGAGAATCATAATCAGTTGAATAAATTATTTGATTTTGAAACGATCCATCACCATTTCCAAGAAGAATGCCAATAGTATCAGTATTATTATTTGCTACAACAATATCTATTTGATTATCGTTATTGAAGTCACCAGTAGTAATAAAAACTGGACGAGAAGAATTAAGTGAAAATACACTTTGATTAGCAAATTTTCCATTTTTATTTCCTAAAAATACTCCAATATTATTGGTACCATAATTAGCAACAGCAATATCTAAATAACTATCATTATTAAAATCATTAGCAATCAACGAATAAGGACGAGAGTCGAATCCAGTAGAATATATTTGTTGATTTGTAAATGTTTCATTGTCTTGTGCAAGAAATATTCCAATACTATTTGTACCAGAATTTGCTACAACAAAATCCATTTGATGATCATGATTAAAATCACCAACAGCAATTGATCGTGGTTGTGAACTAGAAACAATTGAACTTTTCATCGTTCGTTTAAAAGTAAATTCACACGATGCCTCTAAAAAGACAATTTAAAATGAATTAAAAATCAATGCTTGATCATCATCCATTTATCAATTACATTGTTTCACTAATGTAAAAGTTAGATGAAAATGAACAACATAAACAATACCAATGCTAGTATATAGAGTAAAATAAATTCTATAATTAATTATTTTGATCTTTCATTTGAAAGAATTAATGAGTATAGTTGATAGTCAATTGAAAGCACACGAATATTTTCTTGATATTTTAAGCCTCCTGTCTCTCCTCACAATAGATTTAATACTTAGAATGCTCGATTTAGACTGAAATCGTTCAGAATAAATGATTCTAGTAAGAAACTCCATGTTGTTCAAATCGTTCGAAAGATGTCAGTTAAACGTAGTTCTTCTGCTTACTTTGTCTTTTATATCTCACTCTATGAATATTTTTAAAATTCTTAGAAGAATGTTAGATGTCAGACGAAATCGCATCTTCCTATACATGTGAGCGCGTTCATACCGTCTGTCTAGTGGCGTAACAAGAATAGAACCAGAACGGGCTCAGCCATACCACTCCAGAATTCGAGACATTTTTTTCATAAAATATTGAAAGAATTCTTGTGAAATAACCTCTTCAGTAATTCTAAGTATTCAAGAAAACATAGAAGTGAGTTAAACAATAAATCTGATCTATTCACAACAATGTGGAAGTTAAAACTGTTTTTTAAAAAGTTGATAGTTGAAAAAAATGACAAAAAGTTAAAACAGTCATAACTTGGGTTACAACTATCAATCATATTAACTCGATTAACTTTTTGAAGCTTTGAGTAGATTTAATTAAGATTGAAATCATAATTCTTTTGATTTAATTAATATGTTTGATAGAATAAATTAAAATATATACATCTCATTGTTCTTTACTTTAAAAACTTATGAAGAAAGCTTCTGAAGTGATTCAGAGCTTTTGAGTTGATATTTTGTCTATAATAAGTAGGATTCGATGAGACTACAAAAAGCCGAAAAGGATAAATATCCATAGATTTTTCTTCTCGAATTATGGCTATTTTACTACGTGTACCATCTATGGCAAGAGATTTACCGAATAAATCAAGTTAAAGAATTTCGATCTGAAATTTTGCTCACATGCAGATCTTGTGATCCTTATAGTAGTATAAAAGTCTCAAACAAAATGAATGTGCCTTTCTCAACATAATGAGTTTTCAAGAAAATTCTTCCATGTTACAGACATGTCAAAACAAATCGGTGTTTCATGTCAACGCAATATTTCAAGTAAAAAGCGTTCATTTTGTCTGAGACTTTTACGTTACTATAAGAACCACAAGATCTGCATGTGGGCAAAATTTCAGATCAAAATTCTATAATTTGAGTTTTTCGATAAGTTCCTTATCATGGATGATAAACCCAGTAAAATAGTCTTAACTCAAGAAGAAAAACCTATGGACTTTTATCCTTTTAGGCTTTTCTAGTCTGATCGGGTCCTACTTATAGGCAAAATATCAGCTCAAAAACTCTGAATCACTTCGGGTGATTTCCTCTTTAGTATTTATAGATTATTCTCTGAGTGCTATTTCATGCATTCATCTATAAGTTACATTTCCTTGTATTTATATGTCAAGCACGAATACACGTGTAACACAATATATAGTTTTCGTTACATAATAAATGGGATGGCAGGAATTTTGTCAATATGACTTTCTCCAACACGCTGCCTGAAATTTTGCCAACATGAGAATAAATTAAACGTAGATGAAAAGTTTCTATCGCATACATTCGTAGATTGTGTTCATCTATTTCATGGTCATAAGTTTCATGTATTGTTCTAGATAATCATTGTTTGAACAAGATCACTAGCTGATACAATCAAGTCTTCTGCTCATTTTGTTGGCGAAACTGTTTATCGTGCAAGAAAATGAAAGAAAAAAAGAAGAAGAAGAATATTTTCAAATTAGACTTATCAGGTTTAGTGTCAGACGAACATTAGGCTGTATTTTATTTGTCGTTCTTTCATATTAATCTCGTTTTTGTCTTATTAAAATATAACTCGCTCATATTCGACCGCATCTTGAATGTAAACTATGATATATATATATATATATATCTTTTAACAACATTCGCTTTAACCCTCACATGTATCTTATATTGATATTGTTCCGTGACAAGTAGCAACAGTTCACGATACTTTCGCCAATACATGTTTTATACCTTCACCAATTGGCGAAAGTACAGTAGACTTTCATCAATTTATACCACCGAAATTTTGCCATCAATGAATGTCCTATTACCGAAAGTCTTATTAACGAATTTCTGGAATCTTGATCAATGATGATGTTTAAAATGTAATTAGCTGAAAATAATAGTATTGAAAAACTGAAATTATTCTGTCCTATTTCTTGTTTTCTCAAGTAATAATTATCTTCAATATATGTTCTGAGGAAATTTAGATAATATTTCCTGTCAGTATAACCACATATTTAAACACGAAATAATTATATAAAATGATTTTTAGTTCATTCTTATACGTCTATTACTATTTTTATCAGTAGATAGATTGTTCTGTTGTTCTCTCATTATTATATCAACAAATGGAGAGAAAAGAAATCAAGTCAGCAAGAACAACGAGAAGAGAAGATAAAACTATTGTTATCGTATAAGTTAAAGATAAAGAAAAATGCTTTCTATACTATTCCGAAGGTCCAAGTGGACGGTGGCTCGCTGATTCCTAATGTGAGCGTATCTTATTTATAAGCATGGATATGACTAATAATTGTAATTAGTTTCAATTCAACCTATGTAAAAGAATTAGGATAATAATGAGATTTAAATAGATTAAAAGAACGATTATAATAAAACAAAAAAATCGAAATTTGATTGATTCTTTTGGTTAATTTCAATTATAATCGATTAAAAATTGTTCAAAAAACCATCGATTTTCTTTGATTTTTCTTTGTAATAAATGAAAAAATCTTTAGTTGATTCATTTCAGTTTGCATGAAGTATAATAATTTATCCTCATCAAGTTTTAATCGATTATAATCGAAATTCATCAGAATAATCAATGAAATTTTGAATTGTTTTCGTTTATATTCATTATAATCTGTTGCAAAGTGATTCAACATCGATTGAAAACATAGGTTTTTAAATGATGTAGGCAAGTACGGACTTTTTCGAGTACGAGTAAACTCCTCCCCATATTAGAAGCTCCCAGGGGCTTCTAATACGTCCTAAGATTTTTCAAAGGATTCAGGTACAAAATTTTTGTTCAAAAGGTTTTTGGGATTTTCAGAGTTTTTACGGGCTGTTCGAAGAATTTTCTAGGGAATTTTGAGGTTTTTCTGCTGGTAAAACGACACTAAAACAAATTTTCATCTAAAAATCTTCAAATTTTCGAAGTTCTATCACGAAAATACTAAGAATAGTTATAAAAAATTTTGAAAAATTTTTTAAAATGAGGGGGCTTCTTATATGTCACACACGTCAAGTCCTCCAGGGGGCTTCTAATAGGAGGTGGGCTTCTATTATGTGGGGGGGGGGGGGGGGGGGGGGGGGGGGGGGGGGGAATACATGTACGAGTACAGCCGTATCGAGACGTAAATACGAGTTTCGAAAACGGTTGCTAGGAAAATATGATTGTTGCTCTAAAATATGACATACACTATTGGCCAGAAGTCTCAGGACGTATGAAAATTCGGATGAAGATGAATCGTTTTCCACTATATTTTTACCAGGGGTGCAACTCGAAAAACTGTGATCGCAAGCAGAGATCGGAACTCGAATTATTTGAGTAAAAATAGAGTTAGAGGTCAAACACTGCTTTCAGTCCGGTAAACACAATCTTGATATTCAAAAGAATTTTCAAGCTGGCTCATTCAACATTCGAACTTTCTGTTTGCTACGCTTTCGAGTATCCCTAATTTCTTCTAAAAAATTTATATGAGAGACATAACAAGTAGCAGACTTCAAAATGATGAATGAGCCAGATTGAAGAATTCTTTGAATATCGAGATTGTGTTTACCAGATTGAAAGCAGTGCTTGACCTCTAACTCTATTTTTACTCAGCCAATTCAAGCTCGGATCGGTACTTGTGATCACAGTTTTTCGAGTTGCACCTCTGGTAAAAATATAGTGGAAAACGATTCATCTTCATCCGAATTTTCATACGTTTCGTGACTTCTAGCCAGTAGTATATTTGTGTTAAAAGCAGAGTATTGAAAAAATTAACAACCAAAATGTTGTTTAACTACCTTTTATTATCAAGTTTCAAGAAGAATATATTATAGCAGAACTTTATTACATTTTAAAAAAGAAAGTAAACAACGACATGGCAATTATCGTCATGCAGTTACAATATTCGTCAGAAGTCCATGCACATGTGAAAATCGAGGAAAATTCGAACAGTTCTTGTACCAAATTTACCTTTAGTGAACTCAATCTTCACATTCAAAGGCTATCTTGATCTGATTCATCCATCCTTTTGACGCTAGTTATTCTTACATCTCCAGTATAAGTCTTATGAGAAACTGCTGCGAAGTCAGAATGACTTTAAATTTAACTCTTAGTCTCCTTGTTGTGGTCAAATCAATGTAAAAGTGGCCCAAGCAAACATTACACACAACTTTATATTTTCTATTCGCAGTGATTTCGATTGATTCCATCGGAAATGGATTAAGGATTCGTAATCACAGTCCTTTATTAGCTATTACTAAAAGCAACAGAAAAAGCGAAAGACGAGAGTAGTAGAGTTCTTTTCTTTTATCCAATGCTCAAGTCTTTTTGCATGATCTCTCTCCCTCTTCATAAGCGCTATGACATTGTCTTTCTCGATAAGAACAAATATGATCCACAGCTAGGTTCTAATGAAATTGCGAAGATTATGAAATTTAAGTATAACTAGCTTCAGAATGATGGATAAATCAGATCAAGATACCCTTTGAATGTTAAGATTGAGTTCGCTGAAAGTGAAAATAGTTTTTAACTTTCAACT